AAAGAAAAAAAAAAAAAAAAAAAAAAAAAAAAAAAAAAGTATATTAGAGAAAAATCTAAGCTATATAAGAATTTATTGAAAACAAAGCATGTGAGGATAATAGAAAAACTAAAGAGTCAGTTTAAACTGTTGTCCATATGTAGCACATCTTTCTGAATACTCATTAGCAGTGTAATAATAACATAGCATTGCAAAATCCTTTAAGTGGAAAATAACATCTTGTGGCAATATCACTCATGTCATTAATTACCTGAGGCTCAAAACCCATGTCAAACATTCTGTCTGCTTCATCAAGTACAACGTATGTGACTCTACGGAGATTTGTTACCCGACCTGTGAAAGGAGAGGAAAAAACACATGGGAAACAAAATCAAATGGAAATTTAGTTTCCCTCAGGAATAACTTTTTTTTTTAAAAATGTTATATAGTCTCACTATCTTCTAACAAAGACATTAATTAATTTTTTAAAAAATTCACTAAATGTGAATTTTAATGTTCTCATTTTAATCACATATACATTCTGGGAAATGTGTAAGTATGCACAAGGCCCTTTATTTTGTCAAACTCTTCTCTTGCATACCATCATAGGGCCAGAAGAACCTGTAAAATTCAGAAAACTGCCCTCGCCAAAACACATCATAAAACTAAGACTGAGATGAAGCAAGGAGCCACATCAGCCATTATCTGACAGCGCCACCTAGAAAAAAACATATTAGAGATTACAGCGCATGTGTGGAAGGCAAAGTCCAGTGCTAACTGTTGCAGCCTCAGAAAAATTCCTTTTACACATATAATATGTAATGCTTCCTTGGAGATAGAAATAACTATTTGAGGATAATCATACTAATTCTAGTTAACTCGTAATAATATGCATAAAACAGAGTAAGCAGTCTTTTCAAAATGAATATATAAAGATTAAAACCTACCCAGTAATATTACTAAGTGTAAAATTAAGAACCACCCCAAACTCTGGGACAGCTGGAAACAAAATAAGCAAGTTGTATATCTGTGAACATTTTGAAATTATGATGGACAGGATAATTAGCACCCTTCCCAAACAAATAGCTAAGATTCCCTTTCATGAGAAGGATTTAACTCAGGAATTTAAGAATCATATTCTCAAATGATATAAACATGTGAACACATTCAGTTCCAAACAACTGTGGAATGACACTGTCAAATGCTCTCAGAATGGAACAGATTTTTCACATTTTCGACAACTATCACTCAAGACTTGTGCCTATCAAACTACAGTAGAATTTGGTCCTTTCAGCTTCAGCAAATTGTAGCTGAATCCTCAAATTATTTTTTAGAGATTTAGCGCTGAGGTTTTTTAAGATATGGAATTCAAACTTAAGGAACAAAATAAATATTTCTTAAAATCTACATATCTATTTAACATCTTAACACTTTCATCCCCAAATAATAACTTTGTAAAATTACTTGGGAACAGCATTAATGTACCTACCTTTGACGATTTAAGTCTTGGAAGCCCAGTTCTATATGTCTTGAAGGTACTTTTTCCACAGAAGTTAAATAATGTCAACAGTTTAGTAGAGGTTTTGATGTGGAATAATTTAATAATAAAACTTTATCTAATAAGCATGCAATGGTTACACTAGGACAAAACCTCTTAAAGCTGCAGTGGCTCAGTTTAATCAATCTGAGTATTTGATGTAAGGTCAGTTCTTTTACTTTTGAACAGTTATTTAGGGAGGGCTTCTTTGTTTGTTTTTTAAAACCAACAGATAAAGGCAGTCAGATGCTTTTACATAAAAGTGGGGAACTGCTGAGCTACACTAACAATAATAAAGCATCAATGGACAGATAAAATAAGCAACTCTTATATAACCTTTATCTAAATGACTTGAATTTAAAAAATTTGGACCAGCACATTTTAAGTTTAACAATGATAAACATTCTCAGAAACTCTTCAAGAATGTAGTATTTCCTGTCCTCCCCCAAAAAGTCAAACCAATGTATGATTAAACCTATTATTAGTGCTATATATTCTCAATAGCTAGATAGTGCAGCCTGAAGAGATATAAGAAAATTCCATAAGACCATTTATCAAAATACATGATCTTTTGAATTTGTTAGAATTACACAACAAATATAAAAAAATCTCCATAGGAAAAGGTTTTCTACTCACCATTGTTAGCTGCTAACATGTCAATCATACGTCCAGGTGTGCAAACAATAATTTCAGCACCTCTTTTGAGTTCAGCTATCTGATTTCAAAACACAGTAAACAAACTATTAGAGTGGTCTTTTGCTTTGTGGTGGTTGTTTGGTTTTTTTTTAAACATGTATCACCTTGCAAAAAAGAAAACGACATACACTGTAATACAGCTGTTCTACTAATGTGAATTGTTTATGTAAAGATTTTACGCAGCAGTTTCTTTAAGCCTTTGGAAAACTTTGCTTTCCAAAACAGTAACCTCTGACAACTTGAAGTAGTTATAATAGGGATATGACTTCTATACAGTTAAGGGCCTATAAGAAGTGTCACATGTTTATCAGGGACAACTGATACTAAATAAACCATGTTCCATCACAGATGGTCACTCCTGTTGTTTCAATAAATGTGGGTGGGGAAACCCCTTAAAATTAATCTCTAAGTTACTCTAACATGCAATATTTCATAATGCAATAAACGAAAAGTTAACATTTTCTGGCTTTTGTTATCTTGAGGGGAACTCTCATAAAAGTATAGCTTCTCAATAACTTTCAAACTATCACATCCGACTAATAGTTTAACTATTGCCATGCTCAGTACATACATAAAAAGAAACAGTCTGAAACTTTTCAGGACCATACTTGAGAATTTTCAAGATTAGTACGTTTAAGGCTAAGTTAGGTGGAAACGGTTAAGCCTTTGCATTACGACCATTTATACAGAGAAAATCCATAATGAAGGCTGCAAAAGTACTGGATTTATGGGAAAGAGAAAGGAACTAAATCCACTGCGAAAGTAACGTTAACTAATAAAGTTCAAGAGTTATCTGACAAGTAAGGTATGTCTTTTGTGTACCTGTTCACTGATTCCTGTTCCTCCATAAACACAGACAACTCGAAGCCCAAGTGTCTTTGAGAATTTCTTGCACTCCTTGGTAATCTGCAAAGCCAACTCGCGAGTAGGTGTCATAATGACAGCTGAAAAGCAAAGCATTTTCATCATACATTGTAATATAAGAGATGTTGTTATTTATACAACAAAAATGAATCATTTGTAATAATGTTTACAGCAATTTACTTACATATATTTTAAAAAATGTAATTTCAAGAAAAAGAAAATTAAGACAGTACGAGGATGGGGAGGAAATCTGGTCAAAGTTTCAAAATCAAAGGAGTAAGGTCTCCCTTTCCAGATAGATGGACGTGCAAGTGCTCTTGAAACAACATTAGACAGCAAAGTGATCACGAACAATATTAAATAGTACGGTGATCGTTAACTAAATTAAAAAAAAAGCCACTCATAAATGGACATCAGTAAGTAAGCATTCCTCCCTATAAACAAGTGAAGAACTGAAGACCCTTCTGAAGTGTATGGTTGAGTTTTTATTTATTTAAATAGCAATTTTGAAAATAAAAGCTTTGTACCTATGGGACCTTCTCCTTCTTCTAATGCTCTCTGATCCATAATGTGTCTGAACATGGGCAACAGAAATGCAATAGTTTTTCCACTTCCTGTTTTAGCAATGCCAATCAAATCACGTCCATTCATAATCGCTGGGATAGCCTGGGTTTGAATGGGAGTGGGCTTTTCATAGCCATGTCTTAAAGAAAGGAAAAAAAGATATTTTAAGAATAAAATACACAAAATTTCACAGATGTGAATCACAAAGTCATGCTAAAAAAATTTGCGTACTTATATTTACATATGCGTATCAGTGCCATTCAAAAAACACAGCTTAAAAATGAGCAGCAAAGCATGATACAAATGGCAGAAGGAATAGTTCCTAACAATAGTTCCATACTGAGTGATAAACACTGATGACTATATATGTAGCATCTATAAACATGGGCATGTTGCATTATGCAACAAAGAAAAAGGTTTTTCTCATAAACGTATGATAGAACACAGTGAGCAAAATCAAGCATGATATAGTTCATAAAGTGCTTGCTTACTTTTTGAGGGCAGTGAGAATCTTCATGGAAATACCACACTGTACCCAGGTTTTTATTGGTTTGGGGCAGCCTTTTCCCTTGACTGTAATTCCCTCCAACTCCAGCCTGTACACATTCACCTCTGAAATAGAGTTTGCATTACAACAGAGTCAAACTTGACATTTCTCTACCACCTTGATCAAAATATTCTTGATCTGTCCCTGAACATGAAATATTAGTTTTAGCACCACCAGAATTAGCTTGTTATACATAAATACAGGAGGTAGGTGGAAAGGACTCCGGTAAATTTTTCACTGAAAGCCTCATATATAATGATATGAAGTTATAAGTAATAGGGTTCTGACTGATTCAATGTTTTTCTATACCAAGTTGCTCCAAATGCTCTTTATATTCCAAAAAAATTTGCTGTTTCTTTGCACATCAAAATCCATCTTTCTTTTCTTCAGTAGTAACCAAGGTGTTCTGGTTGTATTTGTCCTTACCTTCTTGAGTCATTTTAGCTAGTTCTGGTACTTCAACATAGAAGTTTTTCCTGAAAGGTTCATATTCTATCTTCCCATGATCCACTGGTTCTAGCAGCTTTCTCTGCTTGGTCTGATAGCCAGTCAGGGCAGTCTGAAGATCAACTTCCTCCTCTTCTGAGGAATACTGCATAGATTATAATTTGTGTGTAAATTAGTATGAATGATATTCAGAGGCTCTGTTTTTTCATTTATAAAGGAACTTCACTCAGATGCAACAGTTACTTCTTACCCTATTAGACCAGACACTGAAAACCCACTCTCAGTTTAAGAAGAGTCCCAACTGTTCTTTCTTCTATTTCTTTCATGTTTCTCCCAAACCTTAACTTTCATTGAGTTCTGTATCACTTTCATGACTTTATGAATACTACCAGCCTTGTCATTCAGAAATAATCACTGCCATGCAACTGAAACAGTAAGAGGAAAATATTAAGAAAAAAAATCCAGCCAGCATACCACTGATTCGTGTCCTACTGCAGTCACAGTTCTGACAGATGCACCCAACTCAGCTTTAAACTAGCTGAGTTCTACTAACACTGGAACTGCAGCAACATAGAGCTTACCATGACCTAGCTGAGCTACAGTGCTAGCAGGGTATCTAGTCTACGACTTGGGCAAGGCTGTCTCAGACCCTCCCGGACAGCAATACACCTATACACTTAACAACTATTCAGGCCTACAATACCACACAAAACCACATTAAGCACTCAATATTCCTATTCTCCTGAAAGCATTTTATGAAGGCAGTTTGGTCACAGAAGAGTAATTCTGAGAAGTTCAGGTCCAATCCCTGAGCAATATGGCTCTATGAGAATCCCAGAGCACTGTGCTGTTAAAATTCAATACTCATGCTTATCTGCCATTGCTCAACATGCAGAAAAATGTGCACTGTAAAGACTAAGGGGAGATCTACAAATTCATTGAACCCACATCCAGAAAGGGCAGCTTACATTTATTTACTTGTACCACCTCTTCCTACTAAAACACTGTTAGTTACAGCCAGTGTAACAGACAATGCTTATATATTTGGTTTAGGGTGCCCTCTACTAGAACACGACTTGGCATAGCATTTTGTAGCCCCCGGCAGAATCAAACTCCTTTCTACTCTTTCCTAAACTGTAAAATGAAAACATCTACCTCTCATTTGTGCTAAAAGAGATGTCTCATTATGATTTACGAAGTATTTTGAGATCTGTAACTTACAGGTGTTTCGGGAATGAATATATTTCTACTTACAAAGAAATTCAGCAGAACTGTAAACCTCATTTTTTTCAGATTAGATACATGCAACTGAATGTGCAGACTGAGCAGCTGTATACATAAACACTCTATGCTAGCTTGTGGGTCATTCACACACAGGATCACCAGGACTGCCTGCCCAATTTCAGTAACATGAACACATGAACTGAACACACACTACACGTGACATACACCAGCCCAGCCATATTAAGAACAAATACAAAGCCAGGCAACCTGATGCACTCATTCAGTTCTCATCTGTATAACACTGCCTCTGAACAATAAAACTGCAATGGCAATTTCTGAAAAAAAAAAACCAAAACAAAAAACCCCCCAAAACCCCCCAAAAACCCCCAAAACCAAAACCAAAGAACCCCAAACAGTACAAGTAACAAGAAACTGCATAAGATGAAAAAACCTTCTGACCAGTGTTCTGTGAATTAAATAACTGAATGTTTATCTCCTAGGAGATGGAAAAATCTCATTCTCATGCCTCTTAACAGAGGCACATTGCCTTTTCACAGTAGACATACAAGACACTTCCATTACCTCCATTGCATCTTGGTCATTCTCCATGAGCTCCCCTTTCTTCTTTTCTGACTCTGCAGCTGCCTTTTTGGTTGTCACCACGGTTACTACTTTGGTAACAGTTGGTCCAGTTTTCTATAAAAACAGTTAAGAAAAATTATTGCACTAGCATATAAAACAAAAAACATACTGTATAAAATATATAGAATATTTGTACTTCTGAATGCATTATGCTGGGCTTTTTTCACTTCCTTCAGTGAAATTTTATCAGAATAATGCTTGATAAAAGCACCAGGAAATTAAAGTTAAGGCAAACAGGCATTAAGTGCATCTAACTTACTTGCTTTTTTGCACTTCCCCTTTTTTTCAAAGCCATTTTGATATTAAAACACTAAGTAAAAGACAAAGATAAGAAATCTTAATAAGTGATTTCACCTTTTCACTCCCACCTCCACCTTTCACACTTCTCATATTGAACTTCTTGACTTCTTCTTTTACTTCTTCCATATAAGCATCCAAAGGATCTAATTCTTCATCTTCAACCTCATTGCCTTCTTTTTCTCCTTCTGCAGTTTCCTCTTCATCATCTAATACAAGCAAGAAGACGGGAATAAAACAGGGAAAGAGAGAAGCGCTCACATGTGTTAAATTATTAGTCTACCCAAATAACTACAGTCCAGTTTCATTACTGTATCATTTTTCCTCATACAAATCTCTCCAGTTTGTTAATCTCAATTGTATCTTAAACCATTTGAAGCCATGACTAGATTTAGGTTTTGTTATTTTATAGTTCACCTTCTGAAAAGTAATTAAATGCTTTAAAGATAATATAATAAAAACATTAGGAACAAAAGTATTTTAACTGTCATATATAAAAAGTTAAATACCATCATCATCTTCTAAACTCCATTTTTTCCCCTGTTTCATCTCTTCAATTTCTTTTTTCAGTTCTCCTATGTTTTCCATAGCCTTCTTGCGCTGTTCTTCCCTCCATTTCTCCACTCTTTCTTTTCGTTTTCTCATTTCTTCTTCTAGTTTGTTCTGATCAAAATTCTATGATAAAAAACAACGAAATAGTGAAAATAAATGGCCACTGGCTTTAGCCTATGCTTCTTCAAACAAACGTAACTGTTGTGTGAGCATGCTGTAGGAGACTGGACATCCACAAACTTATCACAACAGAAGTAAATGAAACATACTAACATCAACTATAATATTTTAAAGTAAAATAATGCAGTTACTATTTTATTTTTCATGATAGTAGCTGCTATATAATTTTTAAGATTATAGCAAATTAAACTTTCCTTTATTTACTAGGAAAAAAAAACGTAACTCACACCAGTGAGTTTCAACTCATTTTAGCCATTGATCCATAAAAGACTAAAGAATTATCACGCTACCCTCTACTTCCAAAAGTCCTTCTAGTACAAAAACCTGTGATCGGTTTATGCGTGGGGAGCTCTCACTGACAGTGCAGCCACTGTTAACAAAGGAGCGTTAGTAACAACGTGCTGGTTTAGAAGAGTTAGCTAGAACGGCTAGTATGGGGATTCTTCATCTAGGCACGTCTTTTCATGACACAGAACAAGGCAAAGTGAGCTTCCCTCTCCCTTTGTTCTTTGATTCCTGCCTGGGTCCAGAGGCCAAAAAAATTTTCAGCTCATCCGTTGACACCTAATGTGTGAAAAAGGAGAGATCTTCACACTTGCCTGTGGTTCACAGTCTAAGCAGTTTGAAATCCTGAATTGAGAAGAATGTTTCTTATGCCAAGAACTGGAAGCGTACCCCATGACAGGAGTCTGTGTTACTGAAGAGAACACTCTCTCATTCAGTGGGGATTTTGTTCAGCTCTAAGAACAGGTTTTCTTTTGTTGATGCAGTAATCTATGGCTAACTTAATTCCTGGTTTAAATTCTTATCTTTTAAATTTATAAGTGTTAAAAGCTTCTACCTCAGTGGCCACGGTATTTGTGGTGGCATCTTTATCCTTCTCTTCTTCTTTGTCTTCTTTGTCTTTTTTCTTTTCTTTGGAAACTTCCACACCTTCTGTCTTTTCTTTAGATCTTGATCTGAAAAGTAAGATCAAAGATTTCTTGGAACATTACAGCTTTTCTCAGGGCAGGGATACACATGTGCTGGATAAAAACAGAACTATGAACACGCTGTACAGGCTTATGTTTTCGAATACCTTACAAAGCACACTGCCTCCCAGAGAATCTTTCCATGTTATGGAAATATTCCCTTTAACTACCAGAAATGCAATCCACCAATTCACATGCTTTAGTTCTGTTCTTCTCATTTTTCTACAGGGGGAAGTTGCAGACTTCATTTCCAAACACTTAAAATTGATACGCTAGTGGTTCTGCAGGTTTTTTTACAGCTCCTTGAAGACAGCGCTTAGAAAAGAGATACTAAAAATTTCCTGTTTGTTGAATTTCTAGAGAAAGGTAAAGTGATCTAGCATCTTGCCACAGAAGCTTGAATGTCCCCCTGAGCATACAGTACTGGCTGAAGGACATAAAACCACCTCTCTCTGGGAGAAGCTACTTATGTAACTCAAATGTAACATGCAGACTTGCATTTAATATAAAACCCATTTGTCACAGATTTTATTATCCTTGCTTGCTTCCAATTAAAAAAAAAAAATTTAAAAAATGCATCCATGAGCTAACTCATGATAATAAATGTAAAATTCACTTTAGCCAATTAAATCTCATTGAGCTACTCTAATACAAACCATACACTTATTCCAAAAGACACTGTGATTCCAGCTTCTCACGATTTCTAGATTGTCACCAACTTGCTTATTCTTTATACAGACTGCTGTTACAACTTACGGACTTCCCACGCCTTTTACAGTATAGTATGATTATATGCTGTTTGTTATTATATCTGAAAAATCCATTAAAATATATTTAAAAGAACATAACCTGTAGTAAGTTTTTACATATTTCTAAACTCAACATCTACAAAAGTTCAAGCTTCACCACTTTACCAAGTCTATTTACTAGACAGTTTTATTCAATTATAAACCCCTAAGACCAGTACTTGTCAAATCTGTATTGATTGCAGCACTAAGCACACCCACAGAATTTAACAAACATCAGATAAAACAGGTGGTGGCTTTACCAAAGGAGACTTTTTGAGCTTCACTGAAGTGTTACACTATATAATTTATTTTTCTGCAAAAATATCATTTAAAAAAAAAGCAGATTCCAAACGTTATTGGCTTACAGTCTTTAGAACACCTTTTGTGTAAAGAATGGCTTAAACATTGAGCTCAGGTATAATCAGTGGCACTTGTAACAGTTCGGGAATTCCTGTTATAGATGTTACCATGACGCCATTTATAGATCCCCTGCTCCTACCCTACCTGCATTTTTTAAAAGTCTTGTATGTTTCCAAAGAAATAAAGTGCTTTATTTGAGGAAGAAAATGATACAGCACATCACTGAGAACACTACACTGGAGTAAATCTGGTAACTAAAACTTACTATTCCCTAGAAATTTACAAGTTTGAAGAAAGTTATACTACAATGTAATGCCTGTGCTAGACAGCACCTGTACTTTATTAACTTGGGCATACACGCTGGGACACAAAACATTACTTATTGATACTGGAACCTGAGATAACAATGAAGCACTACAAAACTTTCAGAATTAAATTCAATCTTAACTTTAAAGTTAACTGCTTTTTTTAGCTGCCACAGCTTGGGACTTTTTCTTTTACAGAAACGTTCTCACAACAAACTGCGTTAGACACATTAAGCAGTGGGAAAAGATCGTAACAGTACACTCACATAGTATTCTCCTTGTTCTACAAACCAAAGCTTTGCATAGCTTTGCCTGATGATTCCCTCCACGCTACCGATACTTTTACAATATCTTGCCACTATGACATTGATTATAATTAGTGGACACAAATACCTGTTTTCGGTTTTCCTGTTTTTGCTTGGACTGGAAGATCGAGACCGTCTACCTCTACTTCTGCTTCTAGAGCGCCTCCTCTCTCGGCTCCGGGATCTTCTTCTCTCTCGGCTCCGTTCCCGTTCTCTACTTCTTGAACGTCTGCCACAGAAAAAAAATTGTATTTATTTAGCACATGATCATAGTACAATTTTAGCCTGCCATTGAGGAACAGGTCGTAAAAGGAATCCCAACAATAATCAAGACCACCAAGAGCTTACAAACTCCAGCACCAGGACCTAGAAACCATTTAATAAGCAAAAACATTAAGCATAGTAAAATCTAACATGAACAACAGCAAACTAACTAATTATAGTGGAAGAACATATTCAGAAGACAGGCATGTTTATCTACTTTGACTGGAATTGATAAGTCATACCTTTGACGCTTTCTGTCACGTGATCGGGACCTTCTCTTGTCCCTACTGCGTGACCTCTCACGTCTACGTTCTCGATCTCTACTTCTAGAGCGTCTGTCTTCTCCACGTTTTCCTCTTTTGTCAGATGGAGAACGACTCCTAGAACGGCTACCAGAGCGTCCACGTGACGCAGAGCGCTTCCGATAATGTCTGCATCGTAAATTCACAAAAAAAGATGAACATGAGCGTGAGAACAATTTACAGTTAAAGGATATTTGTCATATTTAGGTGGACAAGCAAAAAAAAAATTATTTATCTTAATTTCTTGGACTTTTTAAATTTCTAAACATTTGTAATCATCTTGCCAAACCGATTAATACACATATACTCCTGATGATGCTGAAACTAGAGGGATTACTTGGTCAAATTTTTCTTTTGGTTTTAGAATACTACTATAAGCACATCATGAGAACAAGAGAACATCAAGAACAATTTCCTTTTTGAAAATCCACTGGTTTCCATTATACATAGGAAAAGATGAAGACTCTTTGAAGCTACCTCAAAATTTGTCAAACAAATATAACTGTTCCTTGTTGCTTTTTATACAATATATGACTTTTATTCAGGTAAGCTAGGTAAATTTACATTTCCATTTATTTTTCCAGGACCCGCAGAGCCTTTCTCCTGACAAGGCCTAGTAGCCAGGCTTGGGATCCACAAAGAAGCAGAGAAAGCGAGACCTCAAGCCCCCCACCTCCTTCTCTCCCTTCTGTCATTGCCACACAGGGTTGTATTACAACAGTATCGGCACTAAAAATAATATAGTTTATTTCAGCACTTTGGTATATTTAGGTACCATGTACCTTTGCAATCAGTACAGCAGCAGCATCATATCCATATACTGCCTATCGTCAGTACAACTGAATGCAAAGAACATCTGTCAGCGTTAGATATCTCTGATTTCTTTCCCATCTCTGTCACAAAATGCCATGGGATTTGCTCTGTACTTCCCCCCTTTCTAATACTTTAGTTTCAGAAAACTAAAAATTTCTTTTTAGTTTTCCTGTACAGTGTGCAATAAAGCTGAGCATATGATTCCAGGTTTCAAAAGCCCCAGTCTGATGAACATCAACTCCAGCACATGCAGCCCACCCCACCCATCTCCACCCACCATTCAGTCTCACCCTCTTACTATGTCTTCATTTTTAAAACTTTTTGTAGGTATTAAAATAGAAAATCAATACAAGTTTAAACCCACTTTTTCTACTATTTTTAGCCAAACAGAAAAAATTTGTCATTATCAGAAGAGAAGCTCTACTGTGATAAGCGAGGGAGTCCTGCTAGCTTGAGCGTCAGCAGTTTGGCATTCAGTTCCCAGGAGATTTTGCAGCCTGAGTCTCTAACAGTGTCCCGCTGGCACCAACTGCTGCCCTAGCTAGTTTGAAACTAATTTAGATATATCTATGGGAGTACCCAGCTCTTCACTGAATCACTAATTTGAACCCAAGCCGGCTGTTAAAATTTCAGCTCATGCGCCTCACACAGTATAAGTCTCCGTTAAGGATCCAGGAAGCTGTTACAGTGCAGGCACAACTGCATGCGGGGACTACTGTGTCACAGTTTTAGTGTTAATATCTGACGGTTACATTAAACTAGGAAACGGAGACATATGCCACAACAGCACTTGCAAGTTCTGGAGCTGGTTTAAAGCCCGACAGGTGTGAGCAGCTCCAAATCATCTGGCAGCACAGGCTTGACCCGAAACACACAAAGTACACGATCCCATTGCTGCTGAGTTGCTTACAACACCTCTTCAGGTGTTTATACCAGCTGCGAGGGGACAAAAGACATGCGATCCTGCATAAACTTAAAAAGAACAAGCAAAAATGTCTAATCCAGATAAAAAAGCCTACCGGGCTAATTATGCCATTGCTATTATTTTAAAACAAGCCAGCAAAGGCCGGCTGGGCTCAGAGAGGCTGGGGGCCTCCTCCCCGGTACCCCAGCACC